CCTTTTCGTGTGTGCAATTTTCTTCAATTAGCGAAACGACTCCCTTTAAAAAACACACGCTCCTTTCACCAAGTGTGTATCGCGCTCTATCTTCGTTACAATTTATCGAACGCCTCTATACCGGTAATTATGCACCTTTATGACTTACCCGGCCGGCTAATACGTCACGTTCAGCGCGCAACATTTTTATTCTAACGATGCTGCGTATCGCGAACAATATTTCGGTACGCAAGCCCGCTACAATCCAGGAGGGCGCCACTCGATCTGCATTAATTGGCATCATTACTGGCGCTGTCCATTTTTGTTACTTTTTTTTCCCGCTTTTCCTTTTTTTTTCGCCGAATACGCCGATTTTCCTGTCTCTCGTCCCGCATTAAACTCTGTGTACACGCTTGGGTATCGCGCTTTTATGCCTCGAGTGGCGTTCCTTGAAAACCCTTTTTCAATCGAAAAACGTGCAAATTTCAATCCACGCTTATTAAAATAATAATATATACAAATTATGAAACATCTCTACGAGTTGTAATTATTTTAATAGTCGTTCGCGGACGAAATATAACGTAATTTGCAAATGAACGTATTGGGGGAAGGAGAAAAAAGAAAAAAAAAAAGATTCAGACGGAATAAATACAAGAATACGTAATTTCGTAGGTTAACATCGGAACCCGTAGCTTTCTGGAGATCTTCCGTAGCCAAATACAACGACGACGACGCGACAACATACCCTGAGAGTTCGAAGGTCTGTTTGCACGAGTTCGCAAATATAGCCATAGGTATCGGAGCCAACCGAAGCGAAGAATTGATAAATTAGTTATTCCGTCAGTCGCCCGCTGCTGTTCCTCCAGGTACGTTTGATCTGAGGTTTCGAATAATCATGCCTATTTATATTGAGGACCTCTGCAGCTTCACGGACATCCTACCTCCATCTACAGGACGTTTGAAATAGTTCAATTTCGACTGGAAATGCTCTCTGATCATATTTGATTTCTTTTCAAATGAAAAATCTTCGTTGAAAGAAGATAACGTCAAATGTAAACATTCTATTGTACTATGAATCTGATATAATTTGATCTAGGGTAGAATAAAATTTGATACACCTCGTATGTTACAGATTGTAATACGCAATGAATTATACGCGTGCATTAATACGGAAAAGCTTTCATAGAAGGCGTAGCCGGCTCGTTTATCATCAGATAACAGTTCCGGAGTACATCCTTTGAATGTAACTCTACCCCTAGGTAAACAGAACTAAGGGTTATGACCATTCCCGTTTGTCTTTGCGTCCGGAATCTTCGCGCGAAATCCCTAGCCAGGAGCCAATTAACTCTCGAAGAATTCGATCCTATCCCATGGTAATACCAAGATAGTGCGACTCTAACGGCAGATTAGAAAAGACAATATTTGCCCCGGTGCTTCTGCGTCTAATCGCGTATTGCCTAGCAGATGTGCCTTCACTTAATATCGCTTACTATTTGTCCTACCCTTCCAATTGAAGTCCGCGGTTTGTGTACACACAGACTGTGCAGAAATTTAGGGGATCTTCTAAGATTGTTCGTTCGTTTAAAACACCCTTCGATTCGTTTCACCGTAGCTCTCGGTATAAACGAATACTTTATCCTTTTTTTTTTTCTTTTAAGATAGCGACATGCCAGAAGGAATTACGCAACACGTCTAAGAGTCTCACAAGCAGCTGACCACAGGAGAGACAGACTGGTGTATCCGCAGCGGCGACGGTTTGAATTGAAGATTTTTGCGGACGGTAACTCGTTGGCTCACGCGCTAACGTATTTGCAAGATCCGCCGCGCTGATGGACATATAATGCGACGTGTGATTGTAGGCCCGCCAATCGCGGCCGATTGTGCCTCTGAAGGCCCGCTAACTATCTCAAACTAGCCCCATTCAAGCCGCCACGACCTCTCTCTGTCCGTCTCTATCCACCAGCCAGTCTCTGTATCTCGCTCGTTCCAACCCTCATTCACCGCCACCACCCCCAGAGCCGCCTGTGCCGTGCCTCTCTCGTTCATCCCCGAGCTTTCGCCCTCTCCTTTCCTCACCGCGGCTCGTCTCTCTTTTCCACCGACTTTCCAGAACGATTTTCTCTCCTCTACTCCTATGAAAACTCCATCCTCGTCGACCAGTTCGAACTCGACGTATTTCTTGCCCGCACGTTTCTTCCACACGTCCTGTATCCCGCTCTAATTTTCCACCGGCTTTCTCGCCGCACACGTAATCTTCTATTTTATTCGCTTTTACTCTTTCCTAATGCGATACCCCACCCTCATACACACACAGGAAATTCGGTACTCTTTTCTATCTCAACGCGCAGCCTTCCATGTTTTGCCTTCCATTTAACGTCTTTTATCTATCCTGCATCCCTCTATTCAACATTCTTCCCTAGCGAGACGTTTTGCTCTTCGAAGGTTTCCGCGATTTCTTTCGGCTAGCCCCGGCACGGACTTTCGTCCATCTCATGTTTCCATCTTCCTTTCAAACCACGCGATATGTATAGCTGGATCCTGTATCTCGTTTAACCCGGTTTCCACCTTTCCCTATTTCGCAAATTCATACGTTCTCGCTTCTACCTGTTCCCTTTTTTAGAAATCCAACCCCTCCCCCTCGTCTAGCCGTCGTTACCGCTGCTCTTCACCCGTTTGATTTTCGCGTTCTTTTTCCCAACCGCGTGGCGCTGCTTCATTTTCCCTCTTCTTAAATCCGCTTTCTCTCTCCTGTCCACTGTGCCTCTCCGTCTAACCATGAACCTCTCTCTACCAACTATACCTCCTCTTTCAACCCGTTCCCTCGACATCCCTTATCCCCGTTCCGCGGTCTCTGTTCCACCACACACACACACGCTCGTGGACACAATCACGCCTGGTTACGTAGAGGTACGTTCCGCCAGGCGTCGCGGGGTATTCGTCCCGATTCGAATTCTCGACCCTATATAACTCGCGGCACGTTCTACGTGGGAATTTCAAATCTATCAGCGACCCAGACGAATGCAAATCGCGCATGAAGCGCGCTTAATAAAGCCCCGCTCACGCGGGCCTCCGCAACTCGCAATTTTCTTTCCGACGACGCTACGTGTCGCGCTCTCCTCTTAATGAAACCTTCGCATGCACCAGCGTTGCGATTCGCGGCTACGCCATTCACACTCGTACCGCGATATCAGTGGAAAAAAAGACGCGAGGGGATCGTTAAGCATCGACGGACGAACAGGGACGAGTCGTGTGGAATTAGTGTCGGCTGATTTTCATTGATCTTAGGTACATTGTTGACGGGAGATGCGAATTGGCGTCGTTCGATTTTCAATTGCTGGTGACGAGATACACTAATTCGCATTATCTATACCTCTATTATTGAACGAATCAGGCGTGTCAATTTATCATTTTTCAGTTTCATTTTTCATTACCGTCAATAACAGCTATAAAATCATAATCATATGAAATCACAATAAGGTCAGTCTCAAACCCTCGGTCATCAGGGCTTAAACAGTCTCCGCGAAATGATCAGAAAATGTCAAGAAGTCACATCTACATTCCCAAACCTCTATATCCACTCTGATAAACTGGTACCATTTACAGCACTTTTCATACCTGTCCATCAAACGTTTCCAACAGAAACATTCGACTTACCTTCGTCGACGCCGTTTTCGAATCACGTTTCCTTCTCGCCGCGAGTTCGTTTCAATTCACCTGTCGTCATTTAGCGCAGGTATTGAAGCGGCAGGACGAATCCGCGTGTCGATCCGACGAAGCGTCAGCGGGAAAAAAAACTGTGGCGACGCGTGGATATCGATCTCGAGGATCGGGCCTGTGCGAGAACAATATCGAACCGCGGAGGACGCCGCTTTTGACCGAGACGCGTTTCGGCCAGGCGAAAATTGAATTTCCAGGGAAGCCGAGTCAAGAGGTGAACGCGGAGAAGCGTAGCAGCTATTTGCGTGGCCTTAATAAGGACGTTTGACGGCGTGGGCTTTCCCTTAACAAGCCGGCTAATATCCCGGGGCCTTGCCTCCTCCGTCTCCTATCTCCGTCTTTCTCCAACCTTCCTTCTTCCCTCTTTCGCCGTGGACTCGCTCACCTTCCGCACGGCGGACACCGTCGGGAATCACTAAAGCTTGAAAACCGAACAAACTCAGTTAGAGAACTCGGTGTGAGGAGCAACCGGACCCGGCCGGCTGATAGAAACGCCAAAACCCATCCTTCTCACCGTCCAACCGGTCTCTTATGCACCTTGCTATATTTATGATGTAGCCTTGTCCCGTTAGAAATCATCGTTTCATTGTGGAACCAAGATTCTGCGCTTTTATTCGCCCTTTCGCTGCGGTACATGTTTGACCACTTTTAAAATTAAGGTGGAAGTGGGCCAAAAAGCTCCAATTAAATTTTCAAAGTGTCAACGATAACGAAAGGGTTAAGGAAATAGGATTTTCAATGGTAGATTTAGGAAGTAGTGATTTACATATGATGAGAAGGATAGCAATGTAAAAGCAGCTTGGTTGAATATAGTAAAATATGGTAAAAAATTTTATTCTTCCCTAAATCCTCTGAAAATTATAAAACAATACGTAAATATCTCTAATAACTGCATCTTGATATGTGAGTATAGAAAAATATGTTTGGCGTCTTTCGTGCGAGTCGGTCTACGACTTTATCAGTCGATCTACAACTATTGTCGGTGAGTAGAACGCGAATACTATGATTGAGACCTAAGTTAGTATCGACGGAGGATCGATGAAAAATTTCACGATCGACCGGTGTTCGATTTGGAACTGCGAAAGTTTTGCTTTCGAGATTCAAGTGTACAGAGCATCGTTTCCAATCGCATAGCAATGGTTTAACTCCGTTGTCTGGAAATATTCAGTGAACTAATAGCAGAACTCGATGCGTGGCTATGTTGTGAAACCATTAGGGAAATTTTGACTTCTCTGCAACAGGTACAAAAGAATATTGATTAAAAAAAAAAGAAACAAAAATTATTACTGAAAATTACAACAACAATTACCCTCTTCTTCTTTAAATCGGATAATAAAAGTCTTGTTGTCGTTGCTAGCTCGACATTTGCGCTCACGGTTTCGGGACTAACGCCATTCTGATATTTAGGTTTAGGCAACAATCTAGGATATACAAAATCTCATAATATTCTTATCTCTCAACTGTAACAAATGTACAATATTATCAACTTACGAGTGAATTATTGGTGAAAGCAGTCTTTTATCGATGGAAGAAGGATCGGTGGGACCAGTCCACCAACTAATGAAGCTACCCACAACGATGACGATCAACGTACCCAAACCAGTGAACCAATGATACGATAATCGATAAAGAGGAAACACGCTGTCTTCGCTGCAAGTAAAAGGAGATCCATATCTTTACATAAAATACTCGTGTGGTTATTCCAATTTCAAGTAAAGTAACGAAACAATTTATCTCGAATTGCAGATGGGAGTCTTGATCTCTGAACGGTGACGCTAATAGCCACTTAGGATTTAATTGATTACGAAAGACTTAATAATTACAGCCGAGGCTAAGGTTGACTTACTCCGGACGATCAAACTGCTTGAGGAAACTTTCGGAGATATTGCCTGGGCAATGGGAGAGGGGCACCGGAAGTTTCTTAGGGACCAGCAGCCCGGCACCGATAGACCAATTTGCACCTAAACTCGCCCAGCCTGCGATCACGAATCCCGTGATGGCACCCACGAACGCACCCTAATCGATGAAAGAACAGCTGGTGAAATTTTTATGCCTATCCGTTGTGATTTCAACGAAAGACGGAAGACGAAGAACATGTGTAAGTAAATGTAAAATTCGATACCTTAGAATTTGTCCATGGAATGAGTATACCTAGCGTGAATACTCCAAAAGAGGTACCAGCAGCAATGGCTGCTAGACTTCCGGTAATCTGTATGTAAATAATACGATAAGAAGATAATACTATTAGGTGTACATATGTAGAAAAATGAATTGGAAAGGATTCTCACAACTAAAACTCCTCCCAATTTTTCAACCAGGAATATCAAGCCCATAGCTGTGGAACCAAGTATGACAACCACACATTTCACAAAAATGGTAGATGTTCGATCGCTTAGTTTCATACCGAAGCAACCCTTCACGAAATCTTCCAGAAGCACCACTGATGTTGAATTGAAGCCCACGGAAAGGGTGCTAAAGCGAAAGGTACGTACAGAGAGATTTTGGAAAAATTGCAAGAACAATTAGAGGATGTTTATAGGGTCTTACCTAAGAGCTGCTCCGAAAATCCCGGCTATGAAGAGACCAGGTACTCCGTGTAAGTGGCTCGCAATTTCCATCACATAAGCGGGCAATAATTGATCGTCGGCTGTGATTAGACCGGAAGCCCTAGGGTCGCACTTAGGCGGAGACCACCAGGCTATGAGGACAAGACCGGACCAGCAGCATAGTGAAATGAATAACATAATACTGATAGTAAATATCGCTAATGATCTGAAATCATAGATACAATCACACGTAGATGATACGTTACATTGTACAAAGTGTATCAATAATCAATGATGTACTCACTTACAGTTTGGACGTTTTCAGATCCTTCAGTGACCTGTACCGTTGCACCATGGTTTGGTTTACAGCTATGTAAGCAGTACTGTAGAGCCATGAACCAATTAACACGGTCCACACTGTGTGTCTTGTATAAGGAGACGGATCGAAACTATAGGACAAAGAAAAAGAATATGAAGTAACAAGAAATTTGTTCTCTACCTTAGAGTAATATGAAACACTCCTTACTTCAAAAATTCAATTCTATTGGCATCCAGTGACCTCTTCCATATTTCAGCGGTACCAATTTGATAAGTGCCCAGTACGCTAACAGTGAGAACAGCGGCGATCATGACTCCAACCTGAAGCGCATCCGTCCAAACCACTGCCCTGATACCGCCCTAGTAATCACATTTTCTAATTAATCCACCTTTCACGTATGTACCCTCCCATATCGATGAACAAGCGCAACTAACTAGCTAGTTCGTTCAATTCTATCCTATCGATCGTTCAACTTGAATCTACGAAAGAAATATCTTATTCTCCAGATAATCTCCAAAGTGTTTGGTTACAATGAAGAAAATCCGACAAAAAAAAGGAAGGTCAGACACAGTAGCCGGAGCAGACAGGATCGTTAAACGGACAAGCTTGTAAACGCGCGAAAGCTGGTGTAAGCGATAATAAACAAATTTCCAAAGAGTCACTGGGCCGCGATAAATTTTCATTAATTCGCGGGCTCCAACAAATTGCTTGGATAATTACAGGCGCGCGCGAGCATGCGATTAATCACTTCGGCGCTGGCTTTGTGATCCGCTACTACGGGGAACGAGCACTCGACGTGCTCCGCGCCATTGTTTCCGCCGGGCCATTGTCGAGCTTTCAGTTTCCGTCCATAAACATTTCCAGTAGCCGGGTCCGCGTGAGAGATTCTTCGCGGCATTGTCCACCGAAAATTGTTTCCTACCAGCCAACGGCGTCCTCCTGCCCGAGGAACTCCAGCTATCCCCGGGAGAATTCGCCGAACGGCCGTCCTTGGAAAATTAGCTCGCGTATACCTAGCCCGGAGTCAGCCCGGCTTGACTTCTGGCCCGCCCTTACCCACCGCCGTCGCCGTCCGCTTTCATCGACGGTGATACGTCTTGTTAACTCCTCTTCAACGTCCACGATGAATCCGCTTCGTCACGATCGTTCAACGCGACAACGTGTTCTTCATAACGATCCACGTTCAACAATCATTGCCCCCTACGTTTGCGGATATCACGAAAATGCTCGATAACTCCGACCCTTTTGTCTTTTTATCGTCCGATATTATCTCTTTTGCAATGAAAAAGGTACACGCGTATAGTCTCAACCTGTGATTGCTCTCGTAAACGAAAAGTGTGTGGGATGTGTATTTTTTTCAATGAACTTGTCAAGGTCTTTTGAAGACCATCTTATATTTTGCACAAGGATCTTATAACTTTTACTAATTTAATTTGTCCATGTAACTGTTTCCTTCTGCTGCAAAATTATAAATAGAAAGATAATAAGAAAAATTCGCAAGGATCGACGCTTCATGAAACTGTTATCAAGGGGAAAGAAGGGCGGTAAAAACATTCGCACGGTACACCATGCGGATATGCAAGTTTTATAGCCCGTGGAACCTACGTGTCCTTGCCACACGGTGCACGAGTATTTTTAACTTCAAATACGTGATCCCAGAATTTTTGTGCTATTGCAAACAACACGCACACACACGGTTCGATATTTACAAGAAGCGAGATGTTCGCGAAACGAGGCGAGACCGAATATTTCCCTTATTAACATACGAACAAACATCGTAACAATGTAAACCTGATTAGGCTGTAGAAGCAAAGAAAAATCGACTAGTATGTCAGGAATTGTCGTGAACGATTGTGTAGAATCGACAAGGGAACAATTATTTCGAAACGTTGTCTCATTTACGATTGATCGATTTTACACACCGCTCCTAATGAATTTTCAAAGCGTAAACTTACCAGAACGGTGTAGAACATGCACACGAGGCACACAGTGATCCCGATCAAATGTACATCAATACCGCTCACTGTAATTAATCACAGAGATTTTAGTAGTGTCCGGTTAATGTTCTACTATGAATAATACGGCCACGTAATACCTTGATTTAGCGCCAAAGCTGGAACGTAGACCACGATCGATTGGTAAAGGACCTGAAATTGGTTTATTACGAAATTATTAATTCACCATCGAATCGACTATTCTCAAAGAAGATATATTCGGATCGTGTGTGATCGCGCTAAATAAATTGCCATCAGCTATGGTACAGGTGTGTATGTGTGTGTGCTTGCACGCGGAATCTACCAAAACACTGTTCGGAACGTTCACCATTTACCTAACGACGCGTCGATAAGAGCGGAGCGAATTAAAGTTTCGTGTCATTGTACATAGGGTGGCGTGACACGACTTCGTTGCAAATAATCTTCCGTCGAATTAAACACAATGATGAATTACTTTTTTCGAAGTTTCTAATCTATATGCCAGCCGGCTTTACGCCACCGGAAATCTAGATAAAACCAGCCGGGGCATGCTTGAAGTTCGTCGACACCGCTTTCTGCTTACCACGTCAATAACGAAGATCAACGATATGAGGGTCCTTACGCCTCGATTGAACCTTATCTCCAGATACTGGAACAAAGTCGCGGGAATAGAGAATGTACACGTCAGTTCAACTTAATTTTCCTCGGTAACTACGCTTCTTTCTTTTCTTGTTTTTATTTCCTACCTCGTAAACCGAATTTAATCCCAGTGCAACGAATACTGGGGCATAAATTATGGCAACCACTAGACCAGAGAATAATATCGAAATAATGGTGATCCAGTATTGGGTGCCGAAGTTGTATATTTCAGCCGGTGTTCCAAGAATCGTCACGCCGGATATAAAACTGAAACAAGCAACAAAAACCAAAGACCAAAGACGATGGTCGATAAGTCGCGCCGATGAAATCTCCGGCGATTTAATTCACCGGCAATTAGAAGAAAGAGATTCGAGTAAAAAAGGGAGAACTACTACCTGGCGATGAGGGACGCGGACACGGGGAAGAGGGCCATACTCTTTCCTCCTAGAAGATAATCTTCCGTGCTCGACTTCTGCGCCCTTCTGTAATGCCATAATCCTGCGGCGGCAGATACGGTGAGCATCAACGCGAACACGAGCCAATCTGCCCAATGAAAGTATCCTCTCTCCTGTGTTTCCAGCATTCCGGCCCTGGATCAGCTGGAACCGAGCGAAAACCTGATTTATGAAGGCAGATTTGCTTGATAACACCGATAATAGAAGTAATGGAAGTCAAGTAACACGGATGAAAGCTTAATAGCTCTTGCGATAATACGCATAATGGATCTTCGACGAGGATTTACTTTTCTGCCCGTTGCGCCATTCGACTGGAGAGAATCATTTTTATTCATAAGTGAATTCGTGGCACAATGTAGCATTGTTGTCGACGATGCATCTTGCGAATTAGACTTTTTCTAAGGAGATTCTTGAACGAGGTGTATTGTTGGTCGTTACTTGTTAATTGTTTTTAAGAAAAAAAATTTATCAGCGTAGATGTGTAGAATGTTAATGGAGTTTGAGAAGCGTGTAGCTGTTGATCAGTTAACAAAGGAGACTTATATTAATACGCGTATTTAGTGTGTGTATATATTCGTAATTGGTAATTGACACGCGACCCTAATGCCACACGCAGCTGTTAGTGTACCAATAAAGCTTGTTAGCTTGCTTAAACGTTGCACTTTCTGAGCATAACGTCGTACCAGACAATTCGTTTTCCTATCTTTTTTATTTTATGAATAAAAACATCGACTTTCCAATAGTTACTCTACTAACATCAACTTAAGCGTGTTTTATGTTCCCTCGTTTCAGTAGGAAAATTAACATAATTGCTAGTTCCATAATAAACCAATTCGTGGCACAAAGAAACTCTCTGTTCGATAAAAACGTTCTTAGAACTGCTGTAATTACATTTGTTAAAACATGTAACGAACATTGTACAACGATAGACGTTTGAATTTGGCGCCAATGGTATTAGTACCACCCGATCTGTGATAGATGTCAGAACTAAGCAGAAATCAATTTTGCTCGGAGAATGCGGACTATGTATCGTACACCGGGTAATACGAATAGTCATAGTTTAGTAGCCCCATTAGAGAACAAAGTGCAAGACGTAGAGGGACTTGATGAAAGAGCATTTCAGGAATGCAGCAATAATCGCGTATCGCAGCACGCAACACGCACAAACATGATACGTCAGCGTTGTAAGTTTTGTATCATTTTCTTGCAAACGGGAATCCTAATTGCTCCTCGAATTTTCTTTATTTTATATCAGTGACGTCATTCTTTGCCACTTTATAAAATAACAGAAGCAGTTTTCAAGATTCACAATGTCAAGTTCTCTTTATTACATCAGGTCGGTGAACAAAACTAGTAAAAAAAAAATTAAATTACGCGATAGCATGTTACGCGTCATTTTTTGACACGTTGTAATAATATTTTGATTGCTTTCTTCCGCTATTTCTAACGTGCAATTACATGCAGCTTATTATCATAAAGAAAAAAGAATATGTAAAGGTTGAGTAAATGATATTACCGACTGAAATGGAGGATGATGCAGTAGAGACCGATTGCTGATAAACGCCTACTACCTGTTCGGTTTTATAAATAGTATTCTTTATATTTAGTAACTATGAGCGGGCCACTGGTAGTCGCATTGCACGTCTAAATTTCTGCCTTCGATGCACGTTTATAAAACAATAAGTATCCCGGTCACAATTGACTCACGTTTTAACGGAAAAGGTAATTATATTTCTGTCACGGTCACATTGATCCTGATCGACGACCGGTAAGGACATAAAAACAGAGGTAACTTTAATTATTCAGCACTGACATTGCGTTTCCTCTCCTTTTATTCCTCCCTCTGTATTGACTCTGGTCTTCTCCCCCCTGGCTCGTTATTCAACAGATACTTTCCTCGAAGCAATTTACCTCTAGAGAGCAATATTAGAAAGCAATTGAACTTTGTTCCTTTTTCTTACTGTTTTAGTTTAAACGTACTACTTTCTGCTGTATCGTAGAAATCGTTCCTTTTTTAATAATTAATTAGTTAGGGAATTAATTATACATACTTATTGATATACATGAAATGACGTAGCCAACGTGAAATTAAGCAATGAAGTGCACACATTGGTTTCGAGATACAAAAGAAGCGCTAAAATTACACCTGAATCAGCATATGTACAAAAATTAACGTAAACTTTCATAAAAGAAAAATGCTTTGAGAGAAAATCGGAATATACACAAACGGTTAATTAAAATTATCACATTAAGCAACAGGCTGTGAATGAACCGTGACACAACGAATAACAGTTTCGTACTCGTGTGGTACAGAAAATATTTCACTAGAAAGTAATGCGATATAAAGTTGTTTATTTCTTCCTCAATTATTTCAAATTGACATCTATTTAATCACGTAACAATTTATTCAAAGCTACTGTATAAATCATTAAACTGTTTTGACGGTCCTGCATGCGTGCACTTTTTTTTTGTCCCAGTTCACATACCGAGAGAAAATTTCCAAGACGATCGATCAAACAATCGAACACATTCTCTTGACGCGATGAATGACATAAAACGTCGTGACCGCGAAAATCTAGACGAAAAAATACGTGGTATCGATGCACATGTAACGCGAAAGGCCCGCACGATTGAAATATTTTTTAAAAATACGCGAAGCAATAACGCCAGGCGAACGAATATAGTCGAACGAGGAAAATAACGTAGTAACGAACAACTGTGTGCCGTGACCAACGACGGACTGTGGTGAAGTTCGAGGCTCAACACGAAGCTAACCGGTTTCCTCAATCTAGGCCTAACTCATCCAACTCTTCGTTCGAGAAGCAACAGAAAATTTAAATTTGTAGTTAGTCTAATTGAACCTGATATCATCGCTTAAAAGTCAACGTTGGTGAGCCAAAGAAATCTTCTTAAATAAGCAAGAGAAGCTACGGAAATAAAATCGCGAACGCCATCGAGGATATTGTGTCGAGTCGCTACATACAGCAATTGAATCAGAATAATCACTAAACGTTTTCATGTTGCTTCAAACGTTAATGAAATGGTGTTAGGTAAGCATACAATTGATGTGTTAAGTTACTTCTACCATTTCAGATTAATATGATAACATCTCACAAATATCCTAACCATGAATGTTGACAAGTATTCCCCTTCTTAATGGATATGCCTTCTCGTGTCGCGCTTATGCTTTTTGCTTTGTTCTCAGTTAACACATGGTGTCTCTATACATATTCGTATATCATTGGTTGACAATGCAGGAAGGTATAAAACGTGGAATACATTTAATCGATAAAAGTAAACTTTATGAAACTCCAATGAAAAGCGAATATAATATTTACAAGAAATTATTTTATTGTAATAATTATAGATAATTACAAACACTCGTAAGACAACAATATACAATTAGCCTTCGTTTGGGATTATCGATCTAAAAAAAAAAATAATGCTGTAAAAATTTGTATCATTGTATGGTAAATTACAATATCTTTGAACTTTTAGTATTATTTTTCCTAACACAAAACATTCGATTTGTTCATTCACAGTATAATAATATACTACTTATCGTCAGAATACGAACGCACGTACTTTTAGCAAATAAAAGTACTACAATCCTGTTAAAAAATGCAAGGTTCTAATAAAATTGGAATGTTATAATTTAAAAATCCTAAATGAGTATATTGATATAGTTTTTTACTTCGTATGAATAATTACTCTAAATTGTATTCTATTGTACATGAAAATTATATAAAAATAAACAAAAAGTATTAACTCAAAAATTTAAGGATAACTTAATTTACATTTACTTCGGAAATCTATATGATTAATTTATAAATTATGTGCATGTCTTGTGATTTTCATAAAGGGAGTTGCTTTGAAACAAAAAAAGAACATTAATTATACGAAATTCAGAAGTTATAAGTTAACAATTTCTACTAGAATAGAATAATCTTTAGCACAATAAACAGTCATAAAATTCTACATATAAGCTCTTACCATAAATTTCAAAATTGTTCTATTGGTAATAACTTCTTTTTCATTGTTATATAGTATTCATACTTAGTTTCGTATATACCTTTATGGTACAATAGAGGAGTTTGTTTTATAAATGTCAATAAATCAGATTCTCAAGGTACACTTACATTGTCTTTAAAGATTGGTATATAATAAATGTGACATTATATAATATTTACTTATCGTTTGTACACACTCACATAGCATGCTCTTTTTACTATTTCAGTTTGTATGGTAACACTTACACTCGTTAAAACATGCATACCACATACTCATATACATACATATGTATATCTCAATTTTTTAAAATTTTCTCCTTCCACAAAGAATTATCATCAATGTTTGTAATAAACAACAAAGGTTATTAATGCAGAGCAGTCAACAACTTAAGTGTTTTTAAGTAATGACTTGCCAATTGTACACTGGTCAGTCTTTTATAACCATTGCATTTCACAAAAGAAAAATAATAACATAGTTTATAGAATATAAATTTAATAATAAACAAAATTAATTTATTCTTTGTGAAACAAGAAAATAAACTTTTATATTCAATTTTTCACAGTGATGGAGCATAGAAATTGTATACTAATCACAGTTTTTGATATCTTCCTTCTCCAAAAAGCCATGAACAAACTCTGTCAACCACATAGGCAAGGGCAAAATCTGCTATTAATACTTGAACAAGAAGTCTGCGGAACTATAAGTAGAAAACAATATACAAATATAGTAAATGAAAATGTTAATAATTATATAAATTTTAACAACTCTTAGTTATGTTTATATCCACTTACATCACTTGGGAAATCCACAATTTCAAATAGTGTCGCTAACTCGGGCAAAAAGCCACAAGCTAGTCCTAATATAACAATACTACTGCCCATAAGGCAGTATAATAAAGATTTATTCTGCAATAAACTTTCCATATATGGTTGACCCTGTGCAATAAGATGATACCAAATTGAAATTATATATATATAATTTTTCACATCATATGTATCATTTAGTTATGCAATTTACCCGATAATTAATTGCGAATGTAGAAATTTGGATCGCCATGACAATAATGAAAACCGTACTGTTTAATAGATTTGGTTCAAAAGGTTCGTCCTCGTCATTCAAATTTGGAATCGAGACCATAGTTGTATTGGTTGCATTACTACTTGGAGTTAGTATAGCTGCTAATTTATCACTCCTTGTAAATTAAACAAAAAAAAATTAATGTTGATTAATTGAATTCAATTTATTTGTACAATTACTTTTAGCTCTGTTACTTACTTTGGAGATAAAAATGTTGCTTCCCTTACCAAATATACAAGGGAGACAAAATGCACAGCAAATTGAAGTAGTACCGTGGCAATGGTGTATAAGTTAAAAATATTTGGGAGAGGTCTTTGTTTAGATAATGTAGTCAATGGTTTTGACCTTGAAATAAATAAAAAGCAAATAGCCAGAAGAATACCCTGTAACGTAGCCTGTGCATCACTGAAGTGTATTCCATCTAAATAGAGAACCGATTGACTGTATGCAAGTCCCAACGCGTTAAGTGCCAAAATTTTAAACATCTGCAAAGTGGTAACCAAAGTGCATCGTCCTTGTTTTATAACGTGACATACTGCAATCAAATAAAGATTAGTGGAATGTATTATATAGAAATTGTTTTAAATTGTGTACAATGAAACGTACTACACTGAATCGAAGACATTTTGCTAGTGAAAGGTGCTGCAATTGAAGCATCTCCTAACTTAACTATTACTGATTGTTCTTCAAGTTCTTTTAGAATTTTCTGTATTTTTGCTCTAGCATTAGCAGGAACTCTTGGATTTGATCTTGGACCATTTACCACTGCCGAATTAGAGATCAAGCTTTCATGTTTTGCATTATCTTGCTTTTCTGTAGATATTCTATCAGATAGGCTCGATAGAATGGCGACACCTAAACAAAGTCGAGCATTGAATATCTATGATTTATGGCTTTCTTTTATATAAAGAATCTCTACTAACCAACTTGAGCATGTTTTAAAGCACCAACATCATTAGTACCGTCTCCACACATCAGAGTTGTATATCCTAAATCTTGCAAAGTGACAATTATAAATTCTTTTTGTTTTGGTTCACATCTTGCAAAGATGACGACATGCGGTAACAATTTACGAAGTAACTCTCGTGCATTATCTTTCAAGTATGTTAAACCCTAAAAATTATATTACGGAAATAATGCGAGATGATAATATATTGCAATCATCGGTATAATATTTCTAATCCTTTAACATACCTCTCCTGTTACGCAAAGAGCGTACTCTCGCCAAATTTCATTACGCCGCACAGAAACATTTTTCATTTCCAAAGGTAAGTTTATTTTTCTGTCTACGCTTTCCCATAACCACTCTCCATCATAACAAGTTAATATAAGCGTAACTGGTTTCTTTGTAAAGTGTAATTCACGACCAACATGACAAGCTGTCAAAGGATTATCACCCGTAATCATAACAACCTACAGGAGAAATGTGAAAACGTTATGCTGTTTATGAAAAAAGTTATAAAAAGAAATATTAATTACTGAATGTGAAGAATGCACGATCTCCTTAATGACAGCTTCAGAATCAGGCTTAAGTGGACAACTTATAATTACAAATCCAGCAAAAATAAGATTTTTTTCTAAATCGTCTCGTGTTAGCTCTCTTAAATCTTGCGACGTTAAAGAACCAGAAATTTTTCGATATCCTAAGGCTAGTACCCTTGCTCCGCGGCGCGAAAGTGACAAATATGTCGAATCATAATTTTCTGGCACAGATGACAACTGAAAAGAAAATAAAAATACTTTCCATACGTTTTTATAGTAAAAAAAAAATCTGTTTTTTACAAGCTAGTACTCACCATAGTTTTGATAACTTCAGGAGCACCTTTTACAGTAGTCATATAATTAATTTCTGATGATCCTGGTGTTGTATACCCAGCAACGACTGCCATCCGTTTTAACGCGGAAGAAAAGTGATGTCTTTGCACTATTTTTAAGACGGGTGATTGTCCTTTCCTGGGTATCATGGAATCCGCTAATATTAAATTAAAGTTGTTAAAATGTCATTCAAGAAATTATAAAGTGTAGTAAAAGAAAAGTATACCTTTTGTAAGGTTCCATTTTATAGCCCTTAACGTAGCTTTTTCGAGAGGATCCCCAACAATTCCATCGTCCAATTGTACAAGAGAATGACACGTTGCAAGTACTTGAATACTTTCTATAGGTGCATCAGAAATTTGTATAACATCAGGCTTTCCCCTTAAATAGTGAATGATTCGTTAATATAAGTGTTTATACATTGTAGTATCTTGAAAATTAATTAATTCTTACTGAATCCCTGCTATACCCTCAACTACGAGATTGTCACTGGTTAAAGTACCAGTTTTATCGAAGCAACATATTTCAACTTTTCCCGCAAACGGTATCCTGAAAGGTTCGGTGCAAAATACACCTGCGGAAAAAATATATATTATTTAAATCATTAACAAATATGTAAATTATTTACATATACTTCGTAAATACCTAGTTTTGATAGAGCTAATAATGAAGTATTAACAGCCAATGATAACTCAATAGGCAATTCTGGAGGAATAACTGATGTCAGAATAAGTGTACACTCCAAGAACAATTTATATCTATTTCGTGTAGGATCTTCACTTGCTGTAGGGTAATAAAAATTATTAGTAATTTACAAGTATAATTTCAAATATTGACAGTGAGAGATTGTATACCTTTAATCCATACATATGATGCTGCAGCAATTGCAAATACTAGTAAAAATAAGATAAAGCCGAATGCTTCCAAATTGTTAGCTGTAACGCGTTTTACCCCAAACAGTATTGTCCTCAAAAGTTTACCCTGTGATGTTGAAAATCCGGTACGTAAAACGTAAGCCACACAGCCATTATCAGTAGCTGAAATTTTACACATGTATATATGTGAAATATTCGTAGTAATACGATAAATGAAGCAAATATTTATTGCCTAAATACCTTTAAGGCCAGGCATACTTTTACTGGGTGGAGAATGTTGCACAACTTTTGTGCCTCCAAAAAGTACATGAAGTTTACCATCACCTTCTATATCCAATTGCTTATGTCCATCAACATCTTCTATAGGTTCTTTCATTTGAGGAACTGACTCTCCTATTCATTAGTGATCAAAGCATGTAAAAGAAGTGATACATTAAATACATACAATATCTCTGTTGATTATTTACCTGTTAGCATACTCTCATCAATTACACAAGGTCCTCTTAAAAGTAACATGTCACATGGCACTAAATTATCATTCTGAGATCTTGTTATTGATACAATGTCACCAGGAACTAGTTGATCGGTGAACATGGAACGCCATCTTCTGTTCCTATAGACCTTTGATGAACATAATTTTATTGAAAATATTTTTTATATACCGAATTTTACTTATAATATTCACTAACCATTATCATGTACGGTTTATTTCCCATTTTCCTAATTTCAGCCATATTTTTAAGTTGTTGTTGTACCAGTGTATATTCAAACATAATGAGCATAATAAGTGTCGAAATACTGTAATACCAATACTTATCTAAGCACCATAATGCTACATAAAATACTTGAAAAACAAAGAATGGTGCAATTGCTCTTTCTTTAAATAGTTCCCTAAATTCTGGTACCACCATATCCAACCTAAGTGAAAGTAACAAGGAATTATTGAAAATAGTTTAACTTGCAACTATAATCATAATTTTTTCAACAGTATAAAAGATATTCTTACTTATTCTTGCCATATTTATCCTCTGCTGCCGTAATATCTTTTTCATCCAAGTATCCATTCCATTCACAATAATGTTTGACAGAATGATTAATTGGAAACTGAAGGCCTTCAAAGCTTTTCTTATCAGGATTCCAGTGATACTTGGTTTTTTGAAATATAAACCATGGTTCTTGTTGTTCAGAATGGTGCAATTTAATAAGTTCTGAACTTCCATTGTTTGGAGTAGGAACTACTTTCGCTATTTTCGCTTTATAAGGATTTATTTCCTGAAACGATTTCAATGTTCAACATCTCGTTATACGTCCGTCAACATTTATTTCACGCTTTCGAATTTAAAATTTCCCGCCAAACAACCATGTGACACAAATGATCGGAAGGCCGGTTCGAATGGCTGCCACGTTAACGAAACATATTGAACAACGTACTCGCACGTGCGAATTGTTGAATTCATATACCTGTTATTACGGTAAACGATAATCAACTCACCGAGCTACAATTGAGAAAAGTGTGTATATGCACTGACCACTGGCAACACAAACATATCAAAATTTGTAATACGCCGATAGCCGCTATACCCACTAACCCTGCATCATAATACTCGTCAATTCCGTAGACAAAAATCCAACTATAAATCCAGATAGCGTGTAATATCACAAAGGGTAAAATATAGCCCGTAAACAGCAATTTTCGAGGATTATGAAGGGTAACAGTTTGTACGAGTTCGTCTACCCGCGACGAAGCAATAGTCGCCATGGCTATGATTACGCTATGCCGTAACAGGGGCGTATGGGTTCTAGTATTGAGATATTTAAGTTTCTTTCACATGGAATTTAACGACACGAACAGCAAACTCACACAATAAAACATATACGTAATAACTAATCCGTGCGAAAGGTGCTCGAAATGTGTTTACTCCCCTCGCACCTTTCCTCGGTACTCTATATGTATACTAATTTACGGTAATAGAACAAAAATGAATTTCATGCGGAACACTATTGTGTCATCTTGTGGCCACGATTTGAACTACCTTTTACTACCTTGATAACGTTACGTTCCCTTAATTACATTTCTCTAATTTATATTAAGTGTTTTAGGATTTATTATTTTTTACATAAATCTGAAAATTAATACATGTGATAGAAAAGAGTTGCTCGAACCTAAGCACTGATCTTTCGCGCGTTACCTAAGTATGATAACTACTTGCTTTCATTTAAATTCTTTATTATTTCAAAACATTTAAGCAATAAAAATTACAATGAAAATTATTGTAACCACATACAAATAAACTTATGAATATATTATCGAAGTTATATTAAATTCCTTCCTGTTCCAATAGATGGCGCTGTTAGGTACTTTGCGATATGTGCGCATGCCAGCATATGTCATGCCGCAACATTGAAATAAACGCAATCATCAGGTTTAGTTTTCATTAATAATTCCGTTAATAGAATTGTGTTTATTGAAAACTATCCTCTTTGAGAGTATTATTTTGAAATAAATTTTTTCTGGTCCACTTCAACTGTAACACGTTCAAGATTAAATTACTCCTTACTCCAGCCCGATACGCAATTACGCAAGTTCGAACCAATTTTTCATTTCTTTCCTGCCAACAAAAAAATAAGAGCAAAATCATTAAGCAGTTGACCTTCTCGTCCACGCAGTTTCATTGATCCCGTTCTAACGATACTTTCCAAGAACAAAATCGTCACACAATCCTGTCAACGTATAAGGTCGAATGGCGCGCGCCGCGGAACACAAACACCAGTGAAAGTATATACCCGTGCACCCCACCTCCGCTCATGAAGCTAGATCGGAACTCGTGCACGCGTGCCGTAGGAAGGGGTACGGGCGCGAGTATGGGTATCGGTACATCGAGTTACCCACGTTGTTAGGTAAGATCGTCGCGCGTAAAATTGCACGGGACAAACCCCGTCGGAATCTGGACCCAACGCCGCGGAATGCATATATACGTGTGACAGTGCTAGTGACTAAGGTATCGACGGTCACACTCGTTCCTCTGCGGTTCGACAGTGTCGTTGTAGAGCGATATTCGTAATCGAGTCTTTCGCGTGTCTTTAACTGTCACTTGTTCGTTCAACTGTATCGAAACGGAAATTCAGGCCTGGAACATCTCTATGAAAGAGTTTCACACGTTTCAATTACGTATCAGTGTGATTTATAACTTACATTAGTTTACAATTGATTGTTTTGTAATTCAGTTACGTAGAGTTCGTGGTTGAAAGATCGTTTTCTATAGGAAGATTAATCGTCGGTCCGACGAGGCGTATCTTTTCGCGGCAAACAATACCTGTCAACACTCGCGCTACGCATGACTCGATGATTGTACATCGGCGTTTCCGCGATCCGTCTAACTTGCGAAGCGCATCCGTGGATACCGGCACGTGCTTCACTAAACGGATAATCGTTTATCGGGTTACGGTAACCCTGTTTCATGGCACTCGCGTAACGTCAATTATGTGATTTACTTTCTGGTAAAATATCGACCCTCGCGAAAGGTGTATACTCTCGTCGCGGTGTGGTTAAGAACGGTTAAAAGAGGTGGTGACACGCGTGTTCGATAGTGGTAGTGTTTTCTAACCAAACTTGCGGCAACCAGCGACCAAGTGCACGACAATTCGAAAATGAGGTTTTTTACTGTACTGACAATTGTAAGTAAAAATAGATACTTATGTTAAACTTGTAACGAGTTATCGTAGTGTATTGAAAAGAATCGAACAAATGATTATGTACTAACTGCAAATTGTCAGTATTGCGATACTGACAGATTTCAACCATTAGGTCAACTAAGTGTGCCCCCATTAGCTTACAATTGAACTAAAAAAAAATTAATGACATATTGAATCGATTTGAATGACAGTTCACAACGTTCACTTGCATCATGTCTTGTTGAAATTAGTTCAACAATCCCTAAGAGTAAGAACACGCACTTTTTATGTGCATGCAATGCACGAACGTGTTTATCTCTCACGATCGAAACGATACTTTTACTTGAAACGAATGTGATTGGAAACGATTAAGATAAACGGGTAACTTTCCAACCTAAGCAACGAATAGAACGGTTCTTTGATAGGGGTTTGTCCTAAATCTCGTTCGATCGTTTCGTCACATCTTACGTGGAACGTGGTCACGAAAATATAATTATCGAAAATATGATATCCGATATTATTCTAAACGAACTTTCATAAATGTAAAAGTTTCTAATTCACGAAACGTCATTGAGTATACGACTGTTTTTATCGATTAGTCGTACGTGAAAGTGTAACTTACTCGAGTCGAATATTTCTCGAGTGAACAAGCATTTTTGCGGTCGCACACGTGATCACCTGTGGCAGACATCCTAGTCAAGCCACGATCCATAGAACGATCAATTTCGTGCACTGTGAAAGCCATGAGTGAAATGTAATGTTCGAGTCTAACGTGTATCGTAATATCTGGCGTAAGACTCTCCACGTTTTGTAAGATCATGTCAGTACCCGTTCATTTCCAGTTTTTTGTAATACCGGATGCACACATCGGTGAAAATAAAGGAACGATTAAGCGCGTATGAATAAATGACCATAGAACAGCTACACCATTATGCGCGCCATGGACGATGTTATTTTTATCTTTACATCGGGTGATAGTACCGACCGAGTATACGGGGTGATTCATTTCACTTTCTTTTATTACCAACCTAAATGATTCACTGCACGTGAAATTTCCAAAAAATTACGATGTTTGGCAATGTTGGCCATTCTTCCCTTCTGCACGTAGTATCTCAACGTCACTTTTGACCATCTATTAAACATTCATGACTCGGGCGGTTTATCGCTGAAACGAAAGTTGCTTCGCGATAGTTTGAGCGACTTCCAGCCTGATCTGGAGATCGATAAAAAGCGGTACTGTCTGTGTGTCATGCGATGAGTCAATTGAAAGAAAGCTCTTAAATGGTGTTCCACAAGGATATTGCGTCACATTTAAATCCGTTTCGATCGTTGGGCTAGATAATATTAATAACCTACAAAATTTCACTTGCAATTGTGGATCGTTGAACAGGAATTCATGAAAACGACTTCATTTTCCCGCGTAACAAGATGGCCGACTTGAGCCGTTTTAACGAACGAAGATGAAATAGTCTATCGTTACTTTTTCTTTTTAATAAATGCAAGAGAGTGTGCGATTAATATTCCTACACGTTTATACAGTGCCTCGAGCCAATGAAACCATTTCAGAGAAGCATGATTCACTGGAGTTCCGTAATAACCATGCAGAAGATTTCTCCTAATAATTTTTATAGAAATATTATACAAATAACGCTCCAGTTGCGTTAATCTCAACGATCTCGTTTCATCAGTTGCAAACGGTATTCTCATTAGCACAAAGTGTTGCAAATCTGTCGGCCATTATCACGTTTACTACTATATATAAATCATGTCAAGTATATCAGAATTCCATTCATTTAACGATGTACTATTTTTCCCGATAAAACGTTCCTTGTAAGCTATTGAAGTACGCTTGTTAGAACCAAAATAGGTAAGGGGTTCGTGCGTTTAAACTCGATATATTTAATCGCCGTTCTAATTGTCACATCAAGGCCCTCAAAACGTTACTCTCGATTTCGTTTCAGGCGTCCTTGGTGAACGCTCACAGCGAGCCTTGTCTCGAGTACGGATGTCCAGGACGACCACAGTACGAACCTTTTGTGCCCGCACCTCCGGGGCATACGCCAAATTGCGCAAAGCCGGGACAAACGTTCTGTGAAAGTCTCGATCATTATCCCCGGTAAGATGCTGTATTCATTGAATAAAAAAAGGAAGTTTGTGGATCATAAAACGTAGAATTATTTCAAAATAACTTCCTGCCAAGTAAGACGATATATTATTTAAAATCAAATATTTCAATTATTTCTAACCCTATTTTATTCTAATATTTTCAGATATTTTCTTTAAACAAAAAATGAAGTAAAAATATAAATCTCTGCAATCAAGCTTGTCTTGTATAAACAATACTCGACATAGTTTACAATCTCTTCAAGCAATATTCAGGTAAAAGAAATGACTCGTTTATCGTAGAAAAAAAGGAGAAAAAAAATTGTAGCAATGACATAAAGCAGAGACCGGATGCGTTTTTGCAAGATTCGCGAAAAAGAGACGTCGTTGCAGTGTGCTACTTGCGCGTACACAATGCTCGTGGGATACCGCATGGCAGATCTATGATGTCAGACCTATTATCGCATTTGCATGATAATACTGGCTCTTAACAGCTGCGCGAGAACCAGGCATTATCATTTCAAGGTATCGGTCGTTTGTTGTCTGTCCTCGGGCGACTAATCGCGCGAAACGATCGAAAGAATTAGATCAATCGTCGCGCATGAACAATGAGACTCACTGAGAAGCTCGACTACTTCCTGGAGTCTTTAGAATTTTCTTAGAGCCGATTCAAATGGTACAACGACTTATGTTGTCAACAAAAAATGTCTATTAAATTTACACAGTTTGCATAAAATTCTGAAATTCACAGAGGTGGTATTGTATAGTGAAAGGAATTTAAACGATGAATCGATCGACTTCCTCGAGTTTCCAAAAAAATGTCTCGCGTCTGCAGAATTTATAAAAATACGATTCACGGTCTCGTTATTAATATTCCCGGCGTCGTAGTCGCTTCTGTTCCTGCATACGAATCAGCTGACCGTGCGTGTCGGGACGAATTTCGGGTAGAGAAAGTTCCAGGATAGTGAACTTGCTCGAAATTGCTTCCACGATATCCTGGAAATCCGTCGCGTTCTTCTGTCACTCGTCTTTTATTCCGTTCGTGTTCCGTCGAAAATGGTTCACACGATACCGGTAGTAGCTTATAAAGAAAGTGACCAAATAGCTTCATTCAAAAATTCCAAAAATTTGAAACAGTTTTAAAAGAGTTCTTTCTGTTCATTTATATTTTCGTTATCTTTTGTAGAAAAAGAAAAAAGAAAAAAAACATCGAAGAAGGAGTGTAATAAGAAAGAGTAACTAGACAGCGAAGCAGAATAACAAGAAGTCGTTCCACGTAATTCATTCATCGTTATCATTTTTGCAATCGTTCTGCGCCTACGTCTGGTTGATTCGAAAGTGATTAACGGTTACGTAAAGACGGACGCCGTTCCGATACGTTTAATTCCTTGATCAACGTTGCGTGACCGTGGCCTTGACGCGGTCATGCCCTGCTAGATAATTATCGGAACCGTTACGGATCGTGTCGATACTCTTGCGATTCGATATTCCCCAGATGCGTTGCTCAGGTCGTTCGTAGCAGATTTACCGTCGCGACGGATCGTTTCTAGTCAGCGAGATGGATTTCCGTAGGGCATAGTTGATGGAAGCTATATAGCCAGGTCTTAAAATCAGTTAGGTGTCACAGTACACGTAATCCGAGCGTCGAAACAGTAGTTTGAGGGAGATAAGGAACTCGAGCTTCGTTCAGGGCCGTCTAATGTTAATTTGGAATTGGTTCTTCTATTGCAGTATATTTAAGCAATTTGTCTACGTTTTAATCTTTGACAAATTCATTTTTAACATAATAGTAATTATTATTGAACAGGTAGCAATTCAGAATTAATAATATGTATCTTTAATGAAAGATTGTAAGCAGAAATTTTGAATATCAATTCACAAATGATTATATCAATCTGTTTTGCAAACTATGCTGTAGACTATTTCTGTTACGACGCGTTCCTTTCCAAACTGACACTTGTACCTGACGAGCTTACAGTTCAGATGTTAATTTTTACATCTAAGTTTGAGGTCAGGTTAGAATTAGTGAATAAGGTATCGAAACTTGTCAGAATCCTTTGTGATGATACGTGTAAGTGTGAAGAAGCTCGAACAAATTGAAGACGCTCGTTACGACGTGAAAGGAATCCCATGCATTTCCGACATCGTTCAGCAAACATGCAAAGACGTGTATCCAACCGAACGACCATCGCTTTGAGCACTTTCTATTGAACGTACATTTTGTAATTTGCAAGAGCCTACTGTAAAAATTGAGTAACTGTCAAAATAGAAAGTTGAGTATCTTTCATACGAATTATTTCTATATTTTTAGAAACGATATACCAAATTTACATCTTTCATTGTGGAGACAGTATTGTGTAGCTCGAAGAGAATGGTTACGTGAATGTTCAGTCATTGATTACCTTTGATTAATACTCTATGGATAATTTCGTTTAATGAATAGTACTTGGCCAGTAAGTAATTGATAAACGCGATCTATTATCGTAAATTGATATTTACGCGAATCCTTGAGAGATTACGGAAACGACGACGACGACGAGTGTTTATCGTTGATGAACGAGTTCTCGACAGCGGCGTACCGGTACAATTGTATGCAGACGCGTGGTAACGCGCACAGCATAACAGGAAACGTTAATAACCCGCATCGTCTGCTGTTTCTCGACTATTCAGCCGGATTTTCATCTAGATCATTTTCTTCCCTGCGAGAACCTCTTGAATACCAGATTCGTTCCCTCAGACATTTCATTGACCCATTAATTCTTAACCTTAAGAATTCCTCACACATCTATTAACATATTCACAAGACGTCACGGTTTTAAGAATTACGAGGCTCGAATAATGCACATATTTTCCTCCTTTCGATTCGTTTTTTATTTTTTTGACGAATTATTCTTTTATTAACAGTTTTCACAAAAATGTAAAAATATCAATCTTCAATCCTCAATTTGTATGTCACGAAATACTAAACAAACCGGAATTGTTCACACTCCTCTCACGTGAATCATAACCTAAAAAAAGAAAGATGGATAGCACGAGGAAAAGACGGTCGACGAAAATGTGTTGGTCAAATATAACGGTGGGGCTGAGACGATGAGTTAAAGCGTCTGTTTGCGATACGAGGTCAATCCTTGTTTCTCCCGATTTCCGTCGTCGATTGACGAATCACGCGCGTTCGAAAGTCGGTCGGCTACGGGACGCGCGGCGTCCCTCGATATCGAGATGCAGCCTGCGCCATCCGGCCAACAAGCCCGCGAGAAAACAGCTTTTAGGCGTGGACCATGAATTAAACATCGGGACACATCTTCTAGTCGGCGTCTTTCACCGGCGGAGAAAGTTTCTGGATTCGCGCGTGGCCGAATACGCGCGAATTTCGCGACCATGTTTGCGCGGGATTGTGGGTCGCCAGATAATCGATTATCGAGTTCGGCGATCGATAATGCTTTGTGTCTACATTCAGATTTTCTTTTTCGTCGTCTCGTATTTAACGATGGATAATGTGGTGAGGAGATTGAATACTATTTTGCTTTCTATTTCGTATATCTTGTTTATTTTTTTATAAACTTGTGAGGGTTGGTTTTTGAGGTTATTTTGCAAGGAGTTTGAGGATATAGAACGTATAAAAAACGAGGACATTCTGCGACGTTAAAAAATATAATTTTTTAATTTTTTAACTCCACTCGAAATCGATTGTAAAACACAGTAGGAATATCTACAGGTCGTGGAACCTGATTTCCATGAACTCGTGAATAATGCATAAGGTAGATAAACAATTTTTATTCGACTCTGAAACGATTCCATTAAAGTTAGGTCAAGAAATTGTACGCGACACCCCGGTTCGATATCCTGAAGAATGTCAACGTCCATTTGCATCGACCTATCATAGGTCGAAGATCGATCTCGAGGATGCAGTTTGAAAAATTACGTTGCCCTGTTTTTCGTCGATACTTTATTCCTCTTCGTTTTTTATTACAGACAGTTGATCAAATTTCTTGTGGACAAATGCAGCTTCGACTTCAGCTCTGTGTTGAAAGATGAATCCAAAGATGATTTTAGCGTTTACAGGTATGCTGGACAATGCTTTAACGTACCACTTATACGGTAGTAATTCGATCATCCATTTTCATCGAACCTAGCTCAACCTAACCTTCAAACATATACCCAATCCTATCAGCACCCTTTAGTTATATTAATCAAGGGTCAGAGAACCCTCGACACGTTGAAAATTCCACGAAAACACCCCAGACCAAAATGGATCAAGGACGAGTGGCTTCTGTTCAAGGTCGATCCCGGATTACTCCGAGGGTTATGATTACCCGGCGCAGGGGGAGGGCCAGTTCCACTCGTTACCGTTCCTGCCGCCGGCTCAGTATCCCGTTCGAGGGCAGCCGGCGCTCATTTACGGATCCCCGTCGAACGACACTCAACAGAATGGGTAATTTCGATGCTAATTCCGCACGAGCCAAATTGTGTCCGTTTTACATCAGACGAGTAACTCGCTTCTTCTTCGTCGCAGATACAGATACACCACACCCACCCAGAGGAATCCATTTCTGGCCGAGGGGACGACGCCGCCTGTCAAGTACCATTCTACGGGACAACGAACTACGCCTGATCGCCCCTTTTATCCTGAAACGCCACAGTCCTTGAACTCGTTCGGACAGGGTCAAACATGGTGGGCGAACAGGTGATTACTTGGGACCATCGGGTTTTTCAATTCTGGTTGAATTCTGTGAAGTGTAAGGTTGAAGAATACGGAGTAGTTTTATTTGAAATTGGTAGGACGAGGATTATTCGAATCGATTATAGATCAGCGAACTGAACAAGCAAAGAGTGGTGTGAACGAATTTCTAAATTTATGAGTTCTTAAAGAGTATCGTTATCGCTGCGTAAATTTTCGTGCACAGAAGCCAATTTATAACTCGTTCGTCACGGCAGGAGGCCACTGAGATAACGATCGCAACACGCGTATTTATCAATTAATTATGCAGGTGACCTGCTGTTCCTTCATTATCAGATACTTTCATTATATCCGTATAACGGAATATTTTTTCACAATCAAGCAGTCTCGAGTGAAAGAGGAGATCGTTAACGAACCGGTGAATTTTCGTTTGTTCATTCAGGTACACGCGAAACAGTAAAATTACACCACGTACGACGTACGAGAATCCGCTGTTAAGATACAGTAAATTGAACAAGAATCGTAAGAGGAGGCAGTCCAATCTCGATACTATTTCTTTGTGTCCAACGGAGCCGCAGTACATTACACCAAGAGCAGCTTTGAACAACCAAGGAAACTGGATGTACGTGGTGAACATTCAGGAACAGAATCAAAAGTATTCCCAAGTTGTAAAGAGCGAGAGATGCACGTGAGTAAATTTAAATTTAATTTGATAACATTATGTATTTTGAAATTAAATAAAAAAAGTTTGAAATAGAAACGCTTCGAGGGAATGACTTGACTTTACTTTGTGAAACACCCCGTATATTGTCATTGACCATGAATATGACAGAGTTTCTCTTATGAATATTTTAGAGACGTGTTTGACCTTCTATCGAAACTTAGAGCTGTATCGTTAATTCTATGCTCTAAGTATAGTAATAAAAGAAGTAGGTTCCTGGTGTCCTTGATCGTAGCCTCTAGATATTGACACAAGCTTCGAAATTAAGAATTAAAAAACTTGTATACCATACGAGAGGTCAAGATTGTAGGTTATATCGAATTGTATTTTGATTTTCCTTAGAACAAATGCGTGCAACGGCATCTGCTCCGTTCCTGCAGGCTACACCAGCAGATGTCAGCAGCAGTACGTACAGAAGAGATTAGTAGCGCTGGAAGGAAGCGGAAACCAGCTGTACACTGACGTGTTTTGGTTCCCGCACGGCTGCTCCTGTCAGATTATGGTGAATTATTGAAAGAACGGGCCAAATGAGTCGTAAAACCGAGGGAAAATTTCACAAGAGAGCAAACTCAAGTTGAATTTATTTATCGACGAATGACACAGTATTACGAAGCCCTCGCGATGGATTTTTGGAGGCAAATCATGGTGACACACTTTGAAATGGAAAACAGGAAGAGATACGGGACACCGTGGCATTTAATCGAAGAGATTCGTGAAAGAAAAGTTCCTTAAATTTGCTAGCGGGGACGATGTATGGATTTCTACATGAATGCAGAACTGTGAGATTAAATGTTGACGGAGCTTCAGTTTGTGTGGAAAACGAGGTGAACATTGAAATATTAATTTTATTTGATTTTTTTACTTGCTTCAGTTCTTAAACGATTTTTACGTTATTATTTAGTTACTGTTTTTAATTTTATCATAATCATCTCATCTACAAGGTGATAACATAAGTAATTTAACGATACTTAAATAGTTGGAATATTTAGAACCTCGATAGTTTCTGCGAGATATTTGTACCAATCAAACGTCAACTTGCACTAGTTTTTCTATGGTTGATAATGTAGATAAAGCTGTGCAAATGAATCGTTAACATGTCACGATACTATAGCTACAATTTTCAAACGAATAAATCTTAACGATACTCAAACATATAAAAAAACAAATACAATCGAATAAAGACGAATTATACTCAGGCGCAATTTTCTCGAATAGTGCTCTATTTTACCAACAGATGTCACTACTAGCCTCGAAACTTAAATCCTTACAAGACTTACGGTTCAAAGGACACCATCAATTTCGCGTCTTTCGAAATCGTACGTGTCAGAGACGATACGAACAACTATTTTCTACCATTTCTCTTTCGTATCTTATCACACGTAACTGCGTTGTTGTATCCAGGCCAATATTAGCCCCGATAATTGACACAGTTCGTCGATATATTTCGCGCAGCGAAAATAAGACGCGAACCAGTTCGCGAGTTCATGGACCATCGATCGTCGCTCGAACGAACTCATGAAAACAGTTCCTAAAGTGCAGCACGCGCCGCTGCTCCAAGGCCAGTACTCTCAACCGTACATTTACGCGTCTCAAACATTTACCAAATTCCCGATAAACACAGACGAAAAAAATACCGAAGAAAAAAGAAGAAAAATTTCCAAAAATATTCCCAAATTCTAACCTCTCTTTCGTTCGTCCCTCGACGATTAAACGATCGGACCCGACAAAATTTCACTTCCGTCTCGCGCGGCAGACGATGCGAAACCCGATCGAAATTTCCAATTTACACGCTATAGATGCGTCAGCGGGTTCGCGAATATCGCGCAAAAAGCGTGGAGGCGATTCACGGTCGATCGTAACTGTTTATCAAGGACAGAGGGCGATATAGGTTAAGCCGGCGCGCGTGTGTCGCGTTGTGAAACGCGGATGCGACCTCGCAGGCCATGAAATAAAAGTATCTCGATTCGCGTCGACCGCGATAAAAAGGACTAAAAGGAGGAGGACACGCAGAGGGGCCGGGAGCAAGGGGACAGTTGGGGGTGGAACAGGGACGGGGGAGGGGAAATAACTGCCAGGAGGTCAGACACGCGCAGGATGCGCAGAATTTTCTCGCCGCGAGGCCACACGCACACCCTTCGCTCCTTTTACGCGGCATTTTACGATCGCTCGACTATTTCAACCCTCCACGGTTTCGCGATTCTCCTACGATCGATTCAACGAATTCTACGTATTTTTTTTTCTTTTCTTTTAGCCCCGAATGTTTCTTCGGGAAGAAGCGAATTTTTCGAAGTTGGGGCAGAGAGAAAGTTGGGTAACGGAAGTGAAGGTTTCGATTAGTGTCGTAGGGGCGTGTGTACGATGGGTTTTTGGTCGGCTCGATAGAGGGACGTTGGACAAGGGGGATAGCATTTGTTGTTTCACGAGAGGGGGATGGGAAATTCGCGGGTATAGAAAATTACGTTAGATTGAGGAGCGCCAATGGACGACGCACGCGCTCGGAATATTTTCGACGGCGGGCCGGCCTCGCGCTTCCGCTGCTCCGTCCGGTCCAGCGGATCACCATAGCGATTATTGTAAATTCGCCAAGTCACGGCAAGTCTCCTCTTGTACAAAGTTGGCAAATTCTTTCGGCGAACGTAACGCGGTGGGAAAAACAAACTTCCGCGTGCGATTTACGCGTTGAAAAATTCTCCCTTATTGTTAATACGAGAAAAAGAGGTAATACACTTTTGTATACTCTGGCGGCATCCATAGACGAGCGATGAAAAGTTTTACATTTTTCAGCTACCTTAACAATTCTACTTAAAATCCTATGTCTTCTAATGCAAATTTAGCGTAGTTAACTACTTTCAAAATTCTATCTAACAATAAAATAAGAACCAAATTCTACTAACTTAGCTTAACACTAATAAAAAATTGAACATCTTCTAATGCAAACTTAGCTTAGCCAGCTAATTTCAGAATTCTATCCAACAGTACTAAAATCGCTACAAAATTCTGTGAACCTAGCATAGCCCAGCCAGCAAATTTCAAAATTTCACCCAACAAACTGCCGCATCTTCCAACGCAAACTTAACCCAAGCAGCTACTTTGAAAAATTCCACCGAAGGAAATAAAACGACACGAAAAATTGTACATCTAACGCAAGCCTAGGCTACGCCCATGAAAGGCGCGTATTCTTCCGCGAGAATCTCGGCTTCCGGCTGGTCGCGAAGGCAGCAGGAAAAATTGAAAGCTCTCCCTCTCTCTGTTGGTCGGGTGTCCTCGGGGTGCGGCGGGTGCGTACGCGTACACGCATATACGACCGCGTAAGTGCGTGCTATAGATTTCGTTCCACTCTCTCTCTGCGAAACGGTGTACTTGTGCGTGCCGTTCCTGTGTGCCGTATTCACTCTCGAGGCCTCCCCCCTTTGGCCGCCCGCGCCGGCCACCCTCCTCTCCCTCCCTCCGCCACCTGCGTCGGAGAGAGAGCAGAAAAAAGGGGTGAATTTCTAGGCACGTAAGCGCTCGTGCAACGCACCTAACATCGACTATCTGCGTGCACTTGTGCTCTACGCGCTTCCCACCCTCAGCTGCTCCGGCTGCCTCTGCGACTATAGCGATGGCCTCAAGACGCCTGCGGATATCCCCCTCGCGATGTTCCAGCGTAGCTCGCCTGCTCGAGAGTTCGATGCTGCGGCGAGTTCATCGTCGAGTGCATTTATTCTTTTTTCGTTTTTAAAGCAATTTCGAGCAATTGGCAATTTTGCTGAAGGTCGCAGCGTTCGATTTAAGACCTCTTTTTCGAGGTTTTTCGAGTTTCTTTCGTTGGAATTGTGTCAGGATTGCGGAGGATTAGAATCGTATGGAAGATTTGAAAGGGTATTTTTTGGGTATTCCGGAAGTTTCGTTCGTTCAGTGACAACTCTCGCCTCCGTCGTTCGCAACAAAATTTCTTCCAACGTCTCGGATTTTCCAAAAGAAAAATAAATAAATCCATCGACAACATGCAAAAAAAGAAAAATTGCAACCACGTTTCGACATCAATTAAAAGAAGCGCGATCATTGCGCTCGCGATTTCTCGATCAGATTTCCGCAACGACCCGTTGAAAAGCGGTTGAAAAACGAAAGGAGGAAATTGCAAAAACAAAAAGGAATCGAAGGGACTAGCCGACGGCGTGCACTATCGTCGTCGAGGCAGCCCTCGCCGGGGCACCCCCGTCCGCCCCGCTTGCTCACGGTAATCCACGAGTGCGTAGAGGGGCGGCGAGGGGGTACACGCACACACGAGGTGGATGGCAACGCGGGCACCGAGGCTACTTGAAGGGTTTCCATCTATATGCGCGCACGCACCCCGCGTCGAAGGGCGCGCACGCAGCCCGAAGGGCGAGCGAAACGGCACCACGCCGACAGAGGGAGACAGATTGCACGAGTGGGAGGGGGGTTGAAGTCGCCTCCCGGAGGAAAGTATATATTACACTGCCTCTCTCTCTCTCTCTCTCTCTCTCTTTAACCCTCTCTCGCTCTCCTCTCTCTTCTCCTTCTCTCGCTCTCCACGATGGTAATAGGCCAACCGTGTATCGGCGCACGCAATTATCCTGCGCGCTGCTGCGCGGCTTTTCGTCGCTTTCGCCAGGGAAACGATGAATTTCACGACTTTTCGAAATTACTTTTTGTTTTTACCGTTGCTTCGGTTTGACCGAGATTCGGGAAATTGCGAATTTTTTGGATTTCGACAATTGTTTCTTCGTGAAATTTGAACTTTCTCTGGAAATGAATTTTTTGACTTTGGAAATGACGAATTTTTGGGTGTTTGGTTCGTTCGATCAAGGATCATTCCCGAGTTTGTGAAATTTAGGTGGTTTTTGTCTATACCGTTTAGAGATTGGCCGAATTTAAAGGGTAGGAATTGTTGCATTTCGCGGGTGGAACGAGCGAAGGAAGAGATGAAAGGTGGGTGATGGCGTTGGACACCTGTTTCGGCGCTCCTTTTTTGGGGTAGAGGTTCGAGGGTAGCTTCAGGTTCTTTCGCTGCTAGGGTCATTGGTACAGTGGTTTTGGGTTTCTACTTGTTCACGTTTATTGTTTTCGGGGATTCAACGACGTAGATCAATTATATTTACAATTTCAAGCTTTCCATTAACAATCCAACGTTAAATTCTACAATAATTTCCGAAACCATTATTCCACAGATAAACTCTGTTTTAATCGATATTAATCTATCGCTTAATTAACCTACATCAATTACGTCCTTCCGCGCTCATAAACGCCACGCACAACCAATTAAAAGATCTAAAAAAAAAATCTTCGTTTCTTCCTGCGTCATTAGTGCTCAATTACACATGCCATTTATCGCGCTGTTCCACTTTTCCTCCTATCGTTTGCTCAGCGCCGCGCAATCAGGGAAAACCTGCTCGCGGAGGGGTGCAGAAAGAAATCTCGCGACGTGGCTCGATTTTTATCCATCCTCTCAGTTTCCACGCGTCTCTGGAAAAAAAAAATCCCTTCTTGTCTCGCTACCGAGTTTCGCCCCGATTGTCCCGCGACGTCGCGAGCGCAAAAGCAGAGATGTACAGTTATTTTCAGCGGTGGAACGAAGGAACAAACTTCCATAACGGCATTAAACCTCTACGCGCCGGAAATTCTATCCGGCGATTTTTATAGCCGAACTTCCGGCGGTTACTCGTTCCGTTCGGCTTTTATCGAACAGAACTTCGCCTCGCGCTCTCGATCCGAAAACACCGACCAATCTTCCGTTTC